CCACCGCCCTCGCAGCACATGGTGGAGGCGCGACGCGCCCAACCTCTCCACCACTTTCGCCGCGGCGCCATCAGGAAGAGGGTCGCCGACAGCATGGCCGTGCCGAGGCTGTCTGGGGGCTGCTGCTCGTTGGCCTGGTTGCTGGCCGCCTTTGAACGAGACTATCCCCAGGGGGGGCCTTTCAGGTTGTCCTCGTGCGAATCGTCCGTGGCGACCTCGCCGCGGGCTTGATTCTGCTCTTCCAGCGCCTCCAGCGACTTGTCGTGGCTTGCGCCCGCGACCGCGACCCCATTCATGCTTCTGTCAGCTTCATCGCGCCCGCGTCGAAACAAGGGCTCAACGCGGGCGCTGTGGCCCAGGCTTCCGACTCTTCCGCGGCAGAGTGCTGCGTCATCATGGAGATCCAATCAAGCACCCCTCGGTGCTTCCTCAGCTGGCCAATGCGCGTATCCTGCTTCATCCAACCGTCTACATCGCTTGCGATCCCTCCAAATATTCGCAGCTGTGTCGACTACGCGTAGGAGTGACCCTGGGCTTGAGTGACCTTTGGCGCGCGGCCCGCGGGGGCCCGGCGCAATCGCGCAAGCCGGCGCTGCCGCGCCGCATCAAAGATCGGCGGGGCGCCACCCGAAATATTTGTCGTGCCAGCGGGCGCCCGCGGAACTCCGCCGATTTAACTCGAGCACCCAAAACGGCACTTCGAAGGCGCTGCAAAAACAGACGCTGCGGGGGGCCACCGCGAGGAGGTCTGGCACTGCCAAGCTGCGTCGCGATGGCGTCTGACCAGGCCCGGCGCCATTGCCAAAACCGGCCCCGTCCGAGAGCGGGGATTATGTTTTTTTTTTTTTTTTTTTTTTTTTTTTTTTTTTTGTAACTTGTAGTAGTGAAGATCTCAATTGCCTCAAACAACATATTCAAAGATATTCAAATATATTCAAAGATATTCAAAACTAATCAAACATATTCATATATATATATATATATATATTCAAGCAAGGGGTGGGCCCAAACTGGCGCGCCCAGATGCGAGCGTAAGCGCGCGATGCGAGTGCCGACGCGAGGTCGAGCTCATTCCGCGAGAGAAATCACCCGACCCCCTCTGGGCCAGCACCAAAGGACACTCCGGCGAAGGGTTACTCTTACGCGTAGTCGCCTTTGGCAGGCCATGTCGCGACCACTGCCCGCCGACTTCGTTTCCTCCTCGTGCTTACCCGCCAGTTCCTTAGACTCCGCCGCGAGGGGGCGCTCCTTTGGCAAGTGCATTTGCGCGACAACCAGTCTCGAGCTCGTAGCTCTGGCGCCGCGCCCTTCAAGGCCTGGCCCCCCCCCGGGCTCCTGCTTCGGTTCCTTCGTCTGGGGGGCCTTTCTGTATTCCTTCTCGTCGCTGCTGCCACCCCTGCCAAGACCAACAGGTTGCTCCAGCCCGTCGCCTGACCCCTCCTTCCGCGCCGCGCTTCGTAGCGCCGCTCGAGCACGTCTCGCCGCGAAGCTCTCCAGCCTCTGATAGTCGTCCTCCTGTGGCCCCGTCGGCCTCGCCGGGCGCTCGACGCCCGCCAGCGGCGCGTTCGCCGCGTGGCCCTTAAGGATATGCCCGACACTCCAACGGCGATCCGACGCCCGGCGCCGCGCTTCGCAGCTGCCAGCAGTGAGCCAGTCTTGCTCTGGATCGCGAACTCGACGCGCACCTTTCCCCTGCGCGCCTGGCGCCCGCCATTGCTTTCTCTGGTTGTTTCTGCTCCCCGAGCAAGGCCCCGGCCCATCTCGATGAGCTCGTGGGTCTTCAGCCGGTGCAAACAGGCATCGTGTTCTGCCTGTCCAAATTCAGCTTCGTGGCAGCGCCGCCCGGCACGCCCCCCCCCCGTCGTCCACGCCCGGCCCTGCGGCGCTCCGCCGAACAGGAAACGCGCGCAGCGTGGCCTCGTCAGCATCGAGGGAACACCCTGCTCGCCCATCGCCCTCGCGGCAAACTCAAGGGGCGTCTCTGTGCTGATCGAGGCGGGCGCTGGGGAACGCACTGTGTTAGGTGGACGGCACACAGAGAGACGCGATGCGCAAAAAGGGGGGCTCGGGCAGAGAGAGAGAGAGAGAGAGAGAGAAAGAGAAAGAGAGAGAGAGAGAGAGAGAGAGAGAGAGAGAGAGAGAGAGAGAGAGAGAGGAGAGTGGAGGAGAGAGAGAGGGAGAATGAAAGAGGTAGAGAGTAGAAGAGAGAGAGAGAGGGAGACAGAGAGAGGGAGAGAGAAGAGAGAGAGAGGTAGGGGAGAGAAAAAGAGGAAGAGGGATACAGAGAGAGGAGGGAGAGAGAGAGGAGAGAGAGAGAAACAAATAAATAAAGAAGAAAAAAGATAGAATAATAATATATAATCATAGTGAAAAGTAGAAAGAGAGAGAGAGGAAGAGAGCAAGAGAGAGAGAAATAACTAAATAAATACATGCATACATAAATAGATAAATAAAGAAAGAAAAGGAGAGAGATGAGAGATAGAGAGAGAGAGAGAGAGAGAGAGAGAGAGAGAGAGAGAGAGAGAGAGAGAGAGAGAGAGAGAGAGAGAGAGAGAGAGAGAATGACATTTTTTGAAACAAACAAGCAACCACGACGCGCGTTCTCTTGCCATGTACGGAGGCCTCTGGGACGTCCTGGATCTCGCCGGAAACGCAACTGGGGAAGCCTCTGAAGGCCCCCCTGGGAACCCCGGGGCCCTCGTGTTCGGCGGGCGTCCCGAGGCCAAGAATCCCGCCCAAGGAATGGCCCCGGGCCGAAGCCCCGGGGGGCTTCCCGAACCGACTGCGCTCTGGGGCGCCGCCCGCCTCGGCCGCGCTCTCAGCGCCCCACAGGCCTGCCATGGCTCCCAGCCCCTCCTCCGACGCGTCTGTCGAGACGACCGCAGGGGGCCGGGGTGAGCTCCGGGGCGAGTCCATGTGGAAAAGCAGGGAGGCAGCGGCAATCGTCTCTTGTCGGGAGGTGTCCCACACGGGGCGCCGGGTCGAGGTGGCGTTTGTTGGCGAGCCCGGAGACGCCCCCTAAAGATGCCCATCATGCCTCGATCCAGGAGCGCACGGAGGGCGAGGCGCCCCAAGAGGACCTTCCATATGCGACCAGGTAGCTCCCGACAGCGCAACGCGAAAAGGACGCTTTGGCGAGCCTTCCGCAGCCTGGCCGAGGAGAGCCGTGCGCGTTTCCCGCTGAGATCCAACTGAGTATCCAAGAAATTGCGCGCGACCGGGTGACCTCGTGCTCGTGCGCGCTCAGACCCGCGGCCTCGAACAACGCAGCCGCGGCGCGCAGGCCCCTCTCTGTCTCCGCCGCCAGCTCAGACGTCATGACCCCCAAGCTATCCACGCATATGTAGTGACACTTGCCAGACCACGAAGGGGGCTTTCCAGGGGTGCCCGAGGCATGGGTGAAGGCGCCGAGCCGACCCCGATCCTGAAGACGCGTGGACTGGATTCACATTGGTGTTCGGCCCAGGAGCGTTAATCAGCCCGTCTGCGGGAGGCGCGTGTAGAACGAGCGTAAACACTCAAGGGTGGGTACAGGACAGCGTAAACAGATGTGGGCCCTGCAAGTTGTACTAAACAAACACCCTGCATCGGTACGATGTGAGACGCATGGGAGGTAACGCTGCCAGGCACCATAACGCTATGCCTGTTTTTCGAGGCGTTAAAGCACGGTTTGATTATCACCACGCGGCTACTTTGTGCGAACCAGAATTGGACACCACGCGGGCGTCCCAGCCATACCAACACATTCACACTTCTGTGTGTTTGCCGCAACTGAGTACCACGAGGACTGCCCAGCCCGACCAAAACATTGGAACATGCAGCGACCCAGCGGCCAACTCAACAGCGCACGCTTCCAGTGAGAGAGGCAAGTATCGAGCTCCGATGGGGTCCAAGGAGGGCGCCGAGGCGGGGTCAAACCACAATTTTTAAACATATGCTCTACAAGCTACGTGTTCTGCCTTCTTGCGCCCCTTCTTGGGCCTACTTCAGGGCCCTCTCAAGGGCTCCCTGGGGTCCTCCGTGGCAACCCCGAGGCCGCTGTGGAGCCATCTCGGAGCTCTTGGGAGATTGTCTTTGGAACGCTTGTGAGATCCCCCAGGGTTCCGAAGCCCCCCCCCCCCCCCCCACGCGAGGCTTCCAAGGGGGTTCCAGGACGCCCCCAGTGGCGTGTATAACTTGAGGCGTTGGTTCTATACCCCTCCTGGGGCCCTCTCGGGCCATTCCTGGGCCCGTCTCGGAGCTCCTGGAGGGTATGTTTGGGGGCTCTTCTGAAGCCTCCCACGGCCCCACGAGGCCTCCAAGAGGGTTGCAGGAGGCCCCCAGTTGCGTATATAACTCGAGGCCTTGGTTATAAACCCTATTTGGTGTGCCTTTGGGCCCTTCTTGGGCCCTTCCAGGACTTCTTGGGAGGTCTCTTCGGGGTGGGGGGGGGGCTTTGTGAGGCCCCCAGGGCCCCCAGCCCCCCGTCAGGAGGCTTCCAAGAGTTCGGCAATTAGCCCATATCGTTTCCGATTGTCGGCATGCGCGTTCGGTTGCTCGAGGGCGGTGGCGGAATTGCGCGGCAGCGCAACCGATTACTTCCGATCGCTCAGCCCACCTGCCAAGATATACACAGAGTTACAGATCGGGCGGATGCGCCCTCAAGACGAAACAATACGACCAGCATGTGATGATGTGGTGACGGTTTTGCTCAACATGTTTTCTGCGTGGTTCGCGTGCTGATTGACATAATCCCTCGTGCATCCTAGTTCTGAACGCGCCTCTCGCATTCCAGAAAGAAACCCTGCACGGAGGCGCACGGACAGCCCGTCCAGGCCAACGTCGCTTGGGGAGGGGAGTCTGGGGAGTGGTAGCATGGGTCACGAGCGCCATGAGCAACATCATGCAACAACTATCTGCAGCACACACATGTGAATGATGACTCCGTGGGAGAATGACACAAGTAGCTGATGCATTCGAGGACGCATGGGAGAAGAAAGGGCGAAGGTCCAGTCAAGCCCTCAGCTCGACTCCGAAGTTTCCTTGATCAGGCCACTGTAGAACGTAGCCCAGTAGTTCTTCCTGGAGACCCACATCTCGTTCGTCAGCGGCGCCATGTGAGCTGTGATGATGTCGTTCATCCCCGTCAAGACGCTCTTGTGGACTGGCTTGGGCGGGTGCGCGAAGACTGGCATGTGGATGAAATGGGCCCAGTCTGCTGTCGCATCTGCTTTCTGCGTCTTGGCGTCCGAGTAGAAGAGGGGGACCGCGAACGTGCCAATCGGCGTCGACAAACACGTGCCAACTGGTAAATACACTGCTCGCACACTCGTCTCGAAGAACTGCTCGGCCGTCGCTGTCGACAAGGACTTCTTCATGTCCTTCAGGGCGATGCCCGAGCTCAAGACCTCGGATATCTCGAAGAGGAACGCGATGAGATTACCCTTCACTGGATAAACGTAGCCCTGCCAACCTACCAATGGGAACGCAGACGGCCCAATGCGGACGGCGTTCTTCTTTGCGGTGGCCACGAACGGGCCACTTCCAGCAGGCGAGTTCTCGCCGAACCCGAAATCTGTCTCTGGAAAGTTGACCTTGGCCTGGCAGCCGTTCCATGTCGGAATGTTCCTCGCCATCGCCACGTCGGACTTCTCTGTGCCCTCGGCGATCTGATCCCTCAGCGTGGTGACCATCTTCTGGGCGTTCTCGGGCGGCACTGTCCAAGCCACCACGTTCTTGGTCAAGTCAATCTCCCTCTCAGGGTTCAGTGCCGCGTCCGCGCCGACAGAAGCCACGACTGCATGGCCAGCCGTCTCCTTCAGCTTCTCAGCCTCGGCGAAGAGTCTGAAGGTCATGCCGCCCACGTACTTCGCCAGATTGGCGTCGAAGCCTCCGCCCTTCAAAGCGTCGGCGACCTTCATGTGTCCAGGCGACAGCGACGACGACGCGAACGACGGCGAAGACGAGGACCGCGACGACGAGGACGACGACGGGAACGATGACGATGAGGACGAGGCCAGCGACGATGACGACGATGAGGACGAGGCCCTCACGAACCTCGAACGACGATGACGACGATGGCGACGACAACGAAGACGAAGACGACAACGAGGACGGGCATGCGGAAGGCGACGATGACGACGATGATGAAGACTTGCTTCCAGATCCGACGAGGATGATGATGACAACATCGACGACGACAACGGCGACGACAAGAAGGTCCGAGGTTTCAGGGTCGAAGTTGTGGTGCCTTCTTCGTCTGGTGGCGCATGGCCAAGTACACCTTGCGCTTGCCCTCCACAGCGGTGGCATTGATGTACTCCAAACTGGCAATGCGGGTGGCAGCCAGGCTGGAGAACTCGCCCTGCTTCGTCTCCAACGTGTTGAGCTTGTCGCCGTGCTCGTTCACCGTCTCAGGGGCACTCTTGCTGACAACCGCATGCAAGTCGTTGATATCCTTGCTCACGGCCTCGAGCTTCTCGATTATTTAACCGCAGTCCTTCGGGGCGTCAACCTCTGCACGGTGCTTGTCCCACAACTTCTTCAGCGTTGCGGTCGCGCTCTGGGCGCCAGCCAAGGGCTTCATCATGTCGCTGAGGCGCTTCATCATGTCCTCCTTCTCCTGGAGGGCCACCACGTGTTCTCCTTTATCTTCGCCGCCGAGTCGCTGCCTCTTCGAGCCTCGGCGGCCAGCACCTGTGCGCACGGTCGGGCCTTTCTCGTCGCCGCGAAGACCTCCTCCAGAGATGACGGACTCAGCGGGCCGAGCTGACGGCGTTGCCAAGACCTGATGGGAGCCGAGGTTATGAAGACCGCTGGGGGCCGCACTTGAGGAGCGCACCGTTTTCGTCAGGCTCCCTTTGTTGATCTCGGTGCCCTTCTCACGGACGTCGTAGCTGTCCCCCTTGGCCTCCACCACCTCCTCGCCGTCCGGATTGTAGAGGGGGTTCTCCTCGAAGAGGTCCTCGAAGTTATCTTCCGCCGCGTCGAGCTCCATGCCCTCCTTCCTGTTCATGTAGTGCGCGTAGCGCTTCTTCGTGAGCTTCTTGACCTTCCTGCCGCTGAGGCTGCGCTCGACTTTCATGTCACTTTCGATTGTCAGCGCCTGCCGCACTTGAGAAATCGCACTGGTGCGATCTGCACATTTGAAAGGAAGAACATCTGCCCGCCACTGCGCCTTGTTGTGCTTGAAGTTTGCAGAGTCAGTCTCGGTATGCTCGGTCCCTGCGGCGCCCAATGACAAAACCATAGAAGTATCTCTGAGAGGCATGTATGTGGGATAGAGTAAACACGCACGCACACTAAAGGATAGCACACATACGTCAAAAGTACAAACAAAAACAACAACCAACCAAACATACCGACACACAATATTACTCTAGATACAGCGTTGTGTTCCCGACCTTGCACGACTCGGCGGCGTGCCCTCACTGCGTGCATGCACGCCATGTGCAACTTCTTGCCGAAGTACGTAGCATTCAGGCCACCAGGTTCCTCGCACAGCTCACACACCTCCAGGGTCACCCCCAGGTCACCGCCAAGGGCGCGGGGGGGCTCAAGCCCGGACGCTCGACCAGAGCTGCTGATCTCAACGTCACTGCCCACGGGGCTGCCCGACATCGCCGACGGACTGCGCGCGGTAGGAAGGTGGGCACGCACGGTCAAAGAAAGACCTCAGATGGCAACGCCTCTGGCAAGCCACAAGAAACAGCTACGGAACAGGAGCGCCCAGGTCACGAATGATTGATTTGGCCTTCGTTGGCCAGGCGGCTCGAATGCATTCGTGTTGGCAAGGGCCCCGTAGGCTTCAATCTCAAGAGCACAGATGAGCATGAAGGAGACACCACCCCCGAACCATGAAGCGCCCTGGCGCAAGACCATATTATGGTGTCGCACAGCTGTGTGTTGCCCCGTGCCCGCGCCTGCGCCTTTGGGTGCCCGACGATACATGCATGCTGGCGTTGACTCCAAATAGGCGTGAGCGGAACGCAACTACTACAATGACAAGCGTGCAATGTATCTTCTGATGTGAAATGCGTAGCTTTCGTGACACCATTCTAATCAGCCCTGTTCTACACTGTTCAACGGTTCCCCACCCAGTGCAACTACTCCTTGCTCGGCTCTTCTCCTGGCCGACACTCTTCGGACCCCAACTATAGCGTAGTACTCCGATGATGGGTTCATGTGCTCCTACTGCTGCGCACCCCCCAGCTCTGACCATGCTCTACACGTGCTCTGCACGCGTTGTCAGATGGACACATTAGCCCCCGAACCTACATCGCTCTTCGCTCCTGCCCTACTCCTGCGCAGGACCTCCCAAAGGGGGGGGGGGTTGTAGAAATTTCGGCCCGATGGCACGTGGACTTCGTCGAAAGAATCCTGATACATGCCGCATTGCCTCCCCCACCACCCCACCCCGCACACACGCGCGCACGCACGCACACATAATAAAACAACATGGCAGCATGTAACACATGAAATATACCCCCCACCCCCGCCATCACCACCTCCCCAATCCCCCCCACCCACCACCACTACCACCACAACACACACAGCACACAACTACCACCAACACCACCACCAACACGACCACTACCACCCCCCCCACCCACCACCACCAACACGACCACCATAACCAACACGACCACCCCCCCCCCCACACCAACACGACCACCACTGCTGGAGGCGTCAAGAGG